AAAAAACAATATGGATGATGAGTTTGTTAAAAGACTTCCTAGCAAGTCAATGTGACACCACTTGTACATTATTAGAGACATTGCATCTCCAACTGAATCTGTATTGTTAGGGATAGGATCTAGTTCGGTAAATCTCATCCAGGTTTCTGAATATGATTTGATCAAACCTGAATTGTTAGTTGCAATGGCTCTGCCAGCGATTCAGTTTCCACGTGCGTCAACCGCAATTTATGAGAAATTATATCAAATGGCACCATCCATGCAAACATCACACAGTGAGCGTGCTGCTCAAATTGTATTTATGATACAGATGAGGGAGACAACATGACCTATAAAAAGAGAGAGAGAGAAATAGTGCAGAAAGAGTTGTTCCAACTATGAAAAGTTTGATCATTGGTGTTATAGATGTCCCTTCCCTATGCTTCCACAAGAGACTGTGTGAACAATAAATAGGATAATCTGTAAACTTCAAGTTCAAAGTATTACTGTCTGTAATTATTATCAGATCCGTTTGTTTAAAGTACTGGGCATGGGTGGCATCCGATTACTGGTCTTGTCAAGAATAATTGTTTGTCTCTTTCTTCAGATGCGTTAGTTGTCTACAGAACTGAGCATGACTCGGTATACCCATATGAAAACATAGAGATGTGATGTAGAAATTTAGTTGATGCAGGAGAAGAGCTAGACCTCTTAGCTCAAATATCAGTATTTAGTTTTAGATTTCCATCACAATTATTTGTGAGTATGGGTTTAGTACCAGGAAAATGAAGCTCTGTGGTGAAACTTTAAATATTGAGGAAGATATGCAAACAGAAATCAATGATATTAGCAGATACAGATGGCGACATTACAGTTCTGTCTAATGCATAAATGGGGTTTGAGGTTAAATGTCACCTGAGAAACGCTTTCACCTTTAAAATATCAAGTATGGTTGCTTAGATACCTATCCTTCCAAAAGCAAATTGTGGCGTAATGCTACAAGTTCTTCAAACACCTATAGAATGTTGTTACTATAAAACTAGTTTTGAATATCGCACGTGACTTAATAACCTACAAAACAAGTGTTATGTT